TCCGTAAAGGAAGATGATTAACGGACAACAGACGCTGTCGAGATGTTCTGTTGGAGAGGAGTGTGGCGTTTACCATAGATGGCAAGAAGAACTAATGACTTGATGCTCAGAGAGGAGGAGGATGAGAGCTATTGTCACCCGAGTACTCAAACGCCTATTTTGGTCATGTAGCATGTGAACATGGTTTAGGGAAGTTGGCGATATAAGGAAAGGAAGTACTAAGCAAGTCGGATCCTCACCCAGTCATATTTCATATTTGGATATGTTGGAGCAAAATGACAGCAAAATTGATGAACAGAAACGTGATGACGACTTTAAGTCACAAGAAATTTTATTTTGTATCATCAACAAATAGATTGCGTCGTCCCTTTAGATATAGCACCCCTTACTCAAGATATTATAGACAACGAAAGTCATAAATATATATTTGAAACATATACATCCCCCAAATTTAAAACTTTTTACATCCCTTATTTATATGAAACAGTTTCCTCCCACGGTTGAAAAAGTTGTCATCGAGGCACTCTGCTGAAGTAAGCTATCCATTACGGAATAATCGACCATTAAACATTTTATAAACGGCCCAAATGCTACAGAAAATTAGATTTTTTTATCACAGGCACACAAAACATGCTGACGCAGTATACGCATTGCCGTTTTGCTTTAATCACTGGGGAAAGAAAAACTCTCATCAAGAGTATAAATCTCTCGACAAGATAAGCAACAACAAAAATTAATGTTCTCAAGGCCGCCATTTTATAATAACCTGAAAAGGTCTAATGTCGTACAGTGATCCATTTAAAAGCTGTCTAAAATACAGAACTCTAGTACCATAGCAAACTATAAAACTTCAAGTTTGGGTGTATCATTCGACACTACGGTTTTACAGCAAAATTCTAGAAGTTTGGATCATCGATTGTATTGTATAAATTTTATACTTTACTTTTTTGTTAGTATATTCAGAGAGGTATTTGATAAAGTTCCGCCCTTTGCCCAGATTAGGATTAATGATGATTTTGAACCTTGAAGTACTGCTTGACAAATTTTATTCAATGAATAATTTAATGTCTTCTGGTGTAGACTTGGCGAATCCAGAAACCAAAGTAAGAAGCGCTGTAATGTTTAAATTTATTTGGATTTGCCCTACCAATCGTAAGACATTTTTGCTTATAATAATAATAATAATGCGGTTATTGCCCAGCAGTGAATACCATTTACAGAGCAAAAAGGAGCAGTATACTTACATGGTAGTTACAGCACAAAATGAAAATATCTTAGAAAAACAAAAAGAAAAAAGAGAAATAGAAGAAACTTTAAAAACTTTACCAAAACCCATCACAGATGGACTCGAGATTTATTCTTTAATTCACAGACACTGCAGTGAAAAATATCACATATACTTGAATTCTATTGGCATTTCGGCACATAAAATTCATCGGAGACTTTAATAGTAGTTTGTTTGAGCTCTTTTGCACAGGAGGGTATTGAATTGTCTAGATGTATTCTACGAGACAGAATATTGACTTGAGCTAACAATACAGGACATTCTACTTTTCCATTGAAAAGCTTGTGCAAGAAAAGTACAGATAACTGATATCTACGGTTCTCCAAAGACTGATAACCAAATCTTTGTAGTAGCTCAGGATAACTACAGCCTCTTGGTGGATAAACACCATCGATCTTATAAGCTATGAATTTCAAAATTTTCTTTTGTGATTCGTCAATAGCAACGATGTATTGGCTATATATAGGACTCCATATGAGTGATAGGGTGGGTCACTTTTATATGTGAAAAAAAAAATGTTCCTTTTTTTCATAAGCTCAGTGACAAAAAGGTGCTAAATCATGAGTGTGAACATGTTATGAAGTTTGATTGCAATCAGAATTAATCTTCTGCCTCCGGAATCATGTGGAAATTGTCAAAGATGGGGTTAAAGGAGGTATAACTGCGTGGCATACAAAGTCACACTAATGAATATAATTTACAAATAAATGTCTTGAATGAATAGTAAGTAAACGTTTATTGAACAGAAAATAATGTTTACAACAAAAATAATAATGAATAATCATTGAGCGAGGGGTTTATTTTGTAGAGAAATCCTTTTTGCTATCAAATTTTGGCATTGCTTTTCTCGAGTCCATCTGGGCTTTGATGAATCCCTCTCTCATTAGCTTATTGCACAAAGTGGTTGAGACCTCGGTTACAGCTTTGACTGCTCTTTCTACTGCTTGTGTGTGACAAGGAAGGCGTAAGAAATCCAAGTCTCTTTCTCCTTTCTGTTCAATAAATAATCGGAGATATTTTTCGGTTACAGATTTCAATAATGGTGGCTCAGAGATATCTTCTTGCCAATTCAAAAGATCATAATACGTTGATGCATTGAAGTTAATCTGTGGTAACTTAAAAATGCGCAAATCTTTAGTGTTACTGATCTAGCTTTCAAAATGCGTCGTGCAGCTAATTCACGAATGTGCGGCTGAGACTCTGTTAACATTGCGAGCAATACGTTTTCCGGATGTGCGAAATAGCTGTTTCTTTGAATTACTGGATCGACGATAGATTTCAAATTTGCTGGTAAATATCTGGATAACTCGATGAGTTTGAAAAGTGTCGCGATCCATCTTTACAGCTAGAATGAGATTTTATAGAAAACCATATCGGAGCATAAACCTTGATAACATACGTTGCAAGAATAGTTAGACTTTCAGGCGGAGTCTCTACAGAAACATACAGACGGAGGATCCTGTTCGCACGAGTCAGCCACCTCGCATGCGACATTTTACCTGGTGATTTATTAGCCAAATCGCTAGGAAATACACCGGTTGAGATTGCTTCAACCATTCTGTACAAGTATTTTTGGTCAGTACTGATATCTTTAGCAGAAAGCTCCGGTAAGCTCGTTGGAATAGGCTTAAACTTGCTTATAGGTCTTTTTTCGCAGTTCTCGAGATCTTTGCCAATCGTTCCTGAAATGTTCGTGGTCCAGAGGTACTACCATCAATATATTGGAACAGATGTCTAAATGGTAGTTCATTCATATGGAATAAACAAATAATCCATTGTAAGGGTCTACCTAACCGTTTCTCTAGCAGTCGTATAATACCGCCATATATGCCAACATTCACATTAGTTCCATCACATCCAATTGCAGTTAAATCATCGACGGATATATCAGCATTCAAGAAAAAGTCAAATATTTCATTTGCTATACACTTTGCAGTGCCTGAAGCAGGTGTAATATAGCCTAAAAACTCCGAATAAGGTTCTTTTATCAAAGAAATGTGCTCTTCAACTATGCGTTTTCTATAGTTTTTTCCTTCTATTTCAGACATCATTAGAGTCTGATCTTTTCTTCCGTCAAATACAATGCGTGTATTTGTGAAACAGTTTGCTGTGAAACTATATTTTCTCTGGCCTTTTTTCGTTCTCGGCGTAGTTTATTTTTATCTATTACTTGAGAACCCGACGCATGTAGAACAACTGATGCGATAGCTGCTCCTGGCCCTATCCGACACTCCGAATCTATCGCATGTTTTTGATAGCAAAGTATAATCAAGTCTAGTGTCACTCTTAGATTGACCACTTGAGTCCTCACTTGATTTGTGTTGGTTCTTCAGCATCGGACTGACACTTTCGGATTCAGAGTGCTACTCAGCTTTTCCGTACATGTTTCGGTTTTTTTCAGTCGTTTGCTCTTAGAATTTTCTCGTATTGACTTCCTTTTCAGTGTTTTTGTAATTTTTGCTGTTGTGACAACATCTAAGGCACCTATCACCATTGCCTAGCGGTTCGTTGATCAGTTATAAAGCCACGTTCTCTTGCAGGTATTTTCTTGTTTTTCGGGCAAGCACATTTGAGAAACTCTTGACACTTGCAAGCCGAAAATATCAAACCAGGCTTTACCTCCAAGACGAAACCCTTCCAACGTGTTTTTAGGTATTCTTGGATTAGATTTGAGGGAGATTTTTGCATTTTAAGTGATACGTTTGTAACATTACCTTCATTCGTTTGGGTTCACTGTAGGGATAGAGGATTTTGCCCATATTCTATCAGTCTTGCACTACAATGGCCTCTATTTCTTTATATGTTGGCTCTTTATTTGTTTCTCTCTCGTATTTCAACCTGTGTCGGGTCCACTCATAAAATCGCATTACATCCCCATAGGTTGGCAAGACGTTGTCTTTCAAGTCATTTAAATCACCAAATATCGGACACTTCCAACTATTTCGAGTACGTTCCATTTTTCTGACAGCGAAACTTACACGTCCGCACTTTCTAACGCAAGATACTGATTGCGATGAACTGTGCGCGACTTGTCTTAAGGTGCGTATTCATCTGAGCACGAACGGGAACGAGGCAAGGCGAGGCCGAACGGACGCTTGCCGCATGCCTCGGTTGTTCAAATTGAAGTCGCGAACGGTTCGCCGAGGCAGCGAACAAAGTAGCTATCCGCCGCACACCCGAATAGATGGAAATATGTGATCAGTCCGCACTACGCTCTAAACTAACTAACAATAATTTCGCAAAAATAGTATGGCTGATGACGACGTCTAGTAATCAGTACGGCAGCATTTATTGTGATAGCCGGTCTATCCAAAAGAAAGAAGAAAAAGCGCTGGTGGACTACTAAAATATATCGTATAGGTTGGTTACACGTGGAAAATTATTCTTAAATGATTTGATGCAGGAGGACGGAGCACATTTTCGAAATTTTACCAGAATGTCATCCGACGACTTTTTTTATTTATTGGAATCAATTCGTGACAAAATTACGAGAAGTGACACACATTTTCGAAAAGCCATCACTGCTGAGGAAAGATTGGCCATAACATTAAGATACTTGGCAACTGGTGACTCGTTTAGTAGTCTACAATATTTATTCAACGTATCAAAACAAGTTATTTCAAAATTTGTCCCGGAAGTATGCAAAGAAATAATAAATACATTGAGTCAACACGTAAAGGTATGTTTAATTCAATCTTAACTAACATTTCACGTATCATATTTCATCATATTTCGAGAAGTAGGTAGCTGTAGTTAGCTGGTTAGCAGTTTGTTGGCTTGAATTGACTTGAAAGATGAGTGAATTCTCGGACGTAATCTCCTGGTGGTCGGGTGGCACTTCCTGGCTATGGGTGCTCGAGTGCTCACTGGATGATTGTTGTGGTGCATGTTCATTATATTGTTGTATATTACTTTGAGGACATTGAAGTGGTGATGGAGTACAAGATGGAGGTCCTACTGATGATATTGACGAAGAAGGAGACGGTAGTGAATTATAAGTACGAAAGTTTTGACAAATAGATGTTGAAGGTTGAAATGTTTGTTGGGATGGTGATAACACCTGAGGGGAAATTGGTAAAGAGTCCAGTTCAGCTTGGAAATAAGATTATGTATTTGATGTTGCAAAACAGCTCTCGTATGAGGGCTAAACTTTCGCATTTTTTGTGCGATAAAGTCAGCAAACATTGAGCATTCATCTTTACTCTGAGTGGCTGTTCTGCTTTTTAAAATATCGTAGGCCTCTTGTATACGAGGGTCCTCGTTTTTTTTTCTTTTCGGAGCATTTTTATGTGGTGACAAAAATTTTTTTTGCGAAGAAATAGGATTTTGATCCTCAACAATTCGGTCTGTATTGTCAGTAGTTTCTTCATCAACTTCTATGATGTCGGATGAAGCAGGATGATTCTGAAAAAATATATTTTTTATTTTTTAGGTACCTTCTACAACAGATGAATGGTTAAAAATAGCAGAAAAGTTCAACGAAACGTGGAATTTTCCACATTGCTTAGGAGCCCTTGATGGGAAACATATACCGCTGCAATGTCCTATCAATAGCGGTAGCATTTATTATAATTACAAATCAAATTTTAGTATTGTATTAATGGCTCTTGTTGATGGTGACTACAATTTTATTTTTGTGGACGTTGGTTGCCAGGGTGGTGTTTCTGACGGAGGTGTATTCAAAAACTGCCAGTTGTACAAAGATATGGAAAAAAACATTTTGAAATTTCCAGGGTGCTCACCTCTACCTGGCAGGAACAAAGAAATGCCGTACGTATTTGTTGCCGACGAGGCGTTTGCACTAACAGAAAATATAATGAAACCATACTCCGGTCGTCATCGCAAAGAACGGATTTTCAATTATCGACTGAGTAGGGCTCGTCGAATAGTTGAAAATGCTTTTGGAATTATTTCTGCTGTTTTTCGAGTCTTGAGAAAGCCAATGTTGCTGGAGCCAGAGACGGCAAAAGTAGTAGTCATGGCAACCATTTGTTTACACAATTTCTTGCGTAAAAGCCATTCGTCAAGAAATATCTATACACCGGATGGAACTTTTGACAAAGAAAAAAATGGAAAAATCATTCCTGGCTCGTGGCGAGAAGGCAACGGTGACAAATCTTCTTTAGCTCCATTGGAAAATGTTCCACGTAAATCAAGTATTTCCGCACAAAATATACGAGCAGAGTTTACTGATTATTTCTGCTCACATGGTTCTGTTCCTTGGCAAAATGATTACGCCTAAAATATTGTAAATTTTTTTTTCCAATAAATTCGTTTATGCAACTAGTATATAATTGTTTTATGTATGTATTATCTCCTATTTAAAACAGAAACTGTGCCACAGAGTTTATGTGTAATCTTTGCATCTTATCTTGTCTCCAAAAATGTCCAGTGGACGGCTTGACCATCTTTTCTGGGACACCCTGTATATGTAGTTAAACAAACAAAAAAAAAACACAAAAACAGACTCACTTAAAAAGAAAATCAAAAATATCAAATTATTAATACGTACGGACAATGTTTCTTGTAGCTCTTCTGGGTCATCTAGAAATTTTAGGCTATCCCATGCAACCATTTGGACTCATAAATTTCGTTTCTTCCTGAAATTAAAAAAAATATTATACTTTTGGTTTCATCAGAATTATTACTATTGAAAAAATATTATAAACATTGGTGCTTCAACTTACCTTTACCTGTTCCCATGCTTTTAGCAATTCTATTTTTTTCCCTCCTTCTTGAACCTCGAAGACTATCAATTTTCTTTTTTAAGACGTCCACGGATTCATTACATATTTCATCTATCTCTCTCCATGCATCTTCTTTTCTGATTATATTATAATAATGTTTATCGTTCTTTTTCCACAATATCGGGCGCTTTTCATACTCTTTAATGAAAGATATTGTTTTTTCCGTGTCCCAACTCATATTTTACCAATCGGCGGGCGGCACGAACGTACGATGACTAAACAAACTGTCCACATCTAAACGCGCGAGGCAAAATTTGTCTTTGATATACCGACTACCTTCGGATGGCTCCCGAACTGCCTCGCTCCATACGACGGACGGCCGAACGCAACGTGGCGCGCCTCGGATGTACGTCCACATCTGCACATACGCCATGCCTCGTTCCCGTTCGTGCTCAGATGAATACGCGCCTTTACCCGTGTGTCTTACCTAACACCCCCACTCTTACCCCTCCCTCTCCCTGGCTACTTGAACTCAACCAAACAGTAGCTAACACTAACGCTTAGGCAACCAAAGTAACAGGAACCATAATCGAAGATGCATAAAGAATTAGTAAAGTGACGCCCGAGGAGACGCTAGAAGTTTACGTACACACAATGCTTTAGTACAATCCGGAGGCAATAAAACTCAGAATTATGTAATAAAATTTTACATATGAACTAACGGCACCATTTGGCACCTTTTTATTACTGAGCCTTTTTCAAAACCGAAAAAAAAATTTTTGACCCACCCTAATGAGTGAGCCATATTCTAGTTTGGATCTTACTAGACTGAAATACAGAGACGATAATGCTGAGGTATCATTGGAATTCTTGCAATTCCTAACAATAAACCCGTATGTTCGACAAGCACTCAGCGCTCTTTGGCTTACATGAAAATTAAATGTCAACTGATTATCAAAATAGACACCTAAATCTCTAATGCAATCGGTTCTTCCTAGTGTCGAATTCTCAACAGCATACCGATAAGATATAGGTTTGGACTTGCAACTGAATGTTACTGCGTTGCATTTAGATAATGTTCAAGTGCAGATGATTTCTTACCCAGCATTTCTGTACGAAAGTGATTTGTTCCTGTAAGATGATACAGTCCTCTTCACTGGATACTGATATATATATATATATATATACAGGGTGTCCGCAAAGTTGGGGTTTTCCTTTACACGACATGTAGATCTTGAAAACATAAGCAATTTTTCTTAGTACCATATACACCAATGTCTTAAGGGAACCGAGATAAAGGGCTCTGCAACATCAAAAATATCTGAATACCGTCCTGTAGCCGCGACAGCCCCAAGTGGTACTAGGACACTAGCTCAACCCGATGACAGAACTGGGTCGGGGTCAGTGTGACAGGTCAGTATGCAACCTTCAACCTACGGTTACGGTCACGCGTGTAGAGGTAAACGAACACGTATAATCGATTGCGTTTCAAAAAACAACAAGCACTAGAGACGTGACTAGAGAAGTGCAAGTATCAAAAACTAAAGTGTGGCAAACGCTGCTTGAAAAGGGGCTGTATCCGTTTCACGTCCAACGTGTACAAACCCTTCAACCTGACGATGTTCCAGCAAGAGTGCGGTTTTGTGAGTGGTTGTTACATCAACATGACAATAATCCGGACTTTTTGAAGTGCATATTGGTGACAGACGAATCTACGTTCACGCGTAATGGGGTGAATAACTTTCGCAACACTCATGTTTGGTCAGTAGAAAATCCGCACGCTGTCCGTCGGGCACATTTTCAACAAACATTTTCGGTGAATGTTTGGGCTGGCATGGTGAACGGTATGCTCATTGGACCATTTATTCTCCCAAATCGATTGGACGGGATGCAATACCTAGACTTTTTACCCAACATTTTGCCTTCCTTGTTTGCCTGCGTCTGCTCGGTAGCGCATCAGCTGATTTCATTTTCTGTTGGAGCGGTATGATTTCGGGCAGAGACGTACTTAGCCCTTCTCGTCAACTGGAGAGTGAGTACTTTTTTCTTTATTTTTTTTTTACTTGGTCGTCCTCGTTTCACTACACATTACCTTTGTTATTTCAAGGGTAGTTGTTTCTGAAAAGGAAACCCCAACTTTGCGAACACCCTGTATATATAAAGACAGGTATATATATATATATTTTTTTTTTGACGGCGTCAACTTCTATGGTTATTAGCCGTTACAGGTATATTTAAATCATCCGCAAACAATAGCTTATTGCAATTAGGTGAATCACACAAATCATTGATATAAAGTGAGAATAGAAGAGGTCCCAAATTGGATCCCTGCGGCACACCACTAGTCGCAGTGAATACTTCCGATCTCACATTATTTACACATACATATTGTTGTATATTAGATAAATATGATTTTAATAGCAAGAAATAATTATTTTGTAAACCTAGATAGCAAAGTTTCTTGAGGAGAATCTCATGGTTGATCTTTTCAGAAGCTTTGGAAAAGTCGGCATACATTACATCAACTTGACCCCTGCTGTCCACTGTTTCACATAGAAACTGGCTAAAAACCGCTAAGTTGCTAATAGGTGATCGACCGTGTTGATAAATAGAAATACAATTTTTTGCAGACTGGTAGATACGATCATATAAAATCATTTCAAGAAGCTTAGCAAAATTGTTCAAAATGGATATTCCGCTGTAGTTAGTGATGATATTGGAAGCTTGACTTTTGAATGTAGGGCATATTTTAGCAATTTTAAACTTTTCAGGAAAAACGGACGAATTCAGGATCAAATTAAACAATACTTGAAGTGGCATTGCTAGTACTGCTTTGCAGTCTTTAAGAAAGAAAAATGTAATTTGATCAACGATGCAACGAAGTCAGCTTTGTTGAAGTTGTATTGTTTATGTTCCATAACTGAATTAACAGATTCATGTTTGGGAAAGATCCTATTAAGCGTTACTGATAAGACTGGATGATGATGGTCTTCATAAACTAACGGAATGCGGTCCTCAACAGTACAGTCAATATTACTTATAACTGAATCTAGCATTTTGTTATGACTATTAAGTACATTATTGTATTGATGAACATTTAAAACAGATAAAAAATTAATCATGAGGAAGTCTTACGATCATTCATACTATTATCAACAAATCGACAACAGTTAAAGTCCCCTACTATAAAGAATTTTTTTGAATGCAATATATCCCAACTTTCCAGCATGTCTAAAAAATTATCAAAGTCTTCAAGCGCAATACTAGGTGTTATATAAATAACTGCTACATAGAAGGTGTAAATCTATTTCCGGAAACTGAACTCCAAATCGAGAAGTGTCTACTACCTCAGACTTCATCAAGGAATCTATAGCTAAAAGCACACCGCCCCCAGTAGACAATCCAAGCTGATCGCAGTTCCTACAACTGCATGTCGTGCAAACACTGAGTAGTAACTATGGAACAACTGAAAGTGGGGTGACGCGATGTCATAACCATTTGAAAAATTTTGTCAGCTTTATAATTACTTGAAAAATCGCTTGTATTTTTAATTTTGGAGACAATTGTTTGTTTAAAAAATTCAGTGGGCATCTTATCCCAAAAATGTTCGTTCATTTGTCTGCCTGTCAGTGAGTGAGTGTCAGGTTTCTCCGTGAATATGTGCATCTGTCTGAAAGACTGTCTGACAGTCTAAGTGCTGATCTATCTAGATCTAGATCCTTCGTCTTTTACAAAGTTTTCAGCGAATATCTCAGTCTCCTTTATCTTAAATCAACAAATGAGTTATAAACATTACTGAAGGTTGGGTTGTGTTATAATTTTTCCGAAATTCTCTGCAGCCTTACGGAATGAGACGCTTCATGTTGAAAATGTTGACACCCATTTCTATCTGCAAGGTACGAACTTGTTTCATATGACCTATATAGATTATAAAGCAGAAAATCCACAATTATGCTTCATAAAATTAATTCAACACTTTAATCAATCAGCTGCAGTTACATCGAATTACTTCGATGATAGCAGTTACACAAACATTAACTATACGCCATTGCTTATGGAAAAATATTTGTATAAAACACAGTCTTCCGCTTAATATTGATATTAAATTCAGGAAATGAGTTTCTTTATTATTGTATTTAATGTACCTTGTGTTTAATGAAAGAACTAACCTTCATTCGTGACATTACAGACGATTAGCCTACGCAATTCATAATAATGGAGACTTTAGTCGGTCTATTTGTTCATAAACCCATTTCAGAAATAACGTCGGACGTCATTATAGATGCTATCTGTACAAACACGAATAATAATGTATTGGGGAAACTTGTTATAGTTAAAGCAAAGCTGTTGGGAAATTGGGATGTCAACTTCACCTGTATGGAGAACCTCTAGAATTGATTTTACCTCTATTTTCTTTAGAGACCTGGGAGCTCACTCCTCTCAATTTGAAGCTTTGTAGGAATATAGGTAAACTGTCGGATTTGCATAATTCATATGCGTTGTGAATTCCAGACGGGCTGTTAGATTCCTCAACTTTACCGCTTACGCATGAATTTGAGGATAATTATGTGGGAATAGTTGCTGTAAAATTGGTTTTGCAAACGTTGCATTCTAAATGGGTAAAGGTTTCTTTTCGTGCAGTTTGTGTAGATAAAGTTATATTAGAGTTACGACTGGCATCATCATTCGCCGGCGCCGGTTTGTCGCTATTTTCAAATCCTTTTTTTAGATCCGCCTCCTGTATTGTTTGATTAACAATACATAGAACTGGTTCGGTGCGGAAGTAGTCGTTCCAATGGAACGATTTCGCTGAGCGAATTGCAGGAATCTATTCCAATAGTTTGGATTCCGATATTC